TTATAAATAAAATATTTTATTTAATTATTATTAAATCTTTAAATAAAAATATAAACTTAATTAGAACTTATTTATAAAAATAAATTTTTTATTAAAGGTTATATTTATAAATATATTAAAGTTTTTAATAATATAATATATAAATAGCTTTACTAGTTTAGAAATCGAAATCTTTTTAGTAATTAGAATATATTATATTATTTTTATATATTTATTAATAATAATAAATATAAAATTATATATCTTATTATAAAACCTAAAAAGAAATCGCCCTATAATAAAATCTATAGTAATTTTTTATTATAGCTTAGAAAAGATAAAAAATAAACTAAATATATTATATAATAAACACTTTTTTTAGAAATACTTTTTTTTAGAAATACTTTTTTTTAGAAATACTTTTTTTTAGAAATACTTTTTTTTAGAAATACTTTTTTTTTAGAAAATTTCTAATATTTTACTAATACTAAAATATTTACTTATAGAATTATTATAATTCGTTTATAATAATTCTTTTTTAGGAGCTAGTTTATTTAGTATATAAATAATATTCTAGGATTTTAATAACTCAAATATATTAAGTTCCTAAATCTTAATAATTCTAATAAAAATTCTTTTTAAAAACTATTTATATTATTAGTATTATACTAATAAATTAAGCCTTTAATATTATAATAGTAATTTAAATAATATCTTTTTGCTTTTCTTATATTCTATTTGAACTTAGTTATTTATATAGCTAGAATTTATAATATATATTATTTATAACTAGTTATACTAGTAATAAACTCAAGTAATAATATTTCTAATATTATTTTATTACTAAAATAGACTTTTCGTTTCAGAATTCCTTAATATTTTACTATTAAGAAATATTTATTTTTTCTTTTTTGGGCCTTATATTATAATATTATAAAAATAATATAATATTCTATTACTATTATTTATAAGGCTTTCTATTTTATATTTTATAGCTTATTATAAAATATAAATAATAAAATATTTCTATTTATATTTATTATAAAGTCTGGTTTCTTTAATAACCTATTAGTAAAGTTATTATATTCTAGCTAATATTTTAAAATAAAGTTAAAAATAGCTAGTTTTTTTACTTATTTTACTTATTTTATTTATTAATTATTTAGTTTTCTTCTAGTTATAAAATATTTTAAATTATTATAATTTATTTTAATAATAATACTATATTAAATATATATTAGATAATATTACTAAATATAAAATACTAGAATAATAACTAAAAATTTAGAATTATATATTTTATATTTATTCTTAATTATAATTATTTTTTTATTAAAAAGCTAGGAAATTATATTTATAATTACGAATCCTAAAGTATTTATTTTTATATAAATCTTTATAACTAGATTAAAATAATAAAGAATTAATATTATTATAAATATAATTTTTAGTTTTCTAAAAGTCTTATTTATTTTATTTATCTAGCTAAAATAATATTATAGTTTTCTATTAGTTTTTAATAAATTAGTTAATTCTTTTATTATCCTAAAGTATTTATAGATAAACCTTTAGTAAAAGTTAATAAAACCTAGTAATACTTAGATTTTCTAAATATTATTTTTCGGGGCTAGTTATTTCCTAATAGCTATAATCCGGCTAGCTTTTATTTCTATATTATCTGGGCTAATTATAAATTTTAGGAACTTTATTTTTTTTATATTAAACTCGTATTTTACTAAATTTATAAAGAACTAGTATTATTATATATTATTTTAGGTTTTCTAAATAAATTATATAAATAATATCTATAAGGCCTATTAATATATAATTAATATATACCTGAAATATTATTAAAATATTAGAGAATTTAAAAAATATAATATAATACTTAAAATAATTATAATATATTTATTTTTTTATTTTTTATTTTTTATTCTCTCGGATTTATAACTAATAATAAGTATTTTTTTAAGTTTAGCTTTATATATATCTTTATTTTATAAAGTCTATTTATTATTTTACTAATAAGTAATAATAGTATTTAGTTCTTAATAGTAATCCTATTTAGATTCCAGTAATTAATATATAAATATAGGCTGCTTTTTTTTATTAGAATAAATATAATTAGAATACTAGCTAGACTAATAAAATAATAGACTTATTTTCTTTTTAAGCTAATATTAAAATATTCCCGAAAAGCTTTAAGCTTTCTTTTTAATAAAATATATATAAAGCTATATAATAGTTAGAATTCTAATTCTGGGTTTATATAATATTTTATTATATAATAATTAGATAATATATTTATAGTTTCTATAAAAAAATATTTAGAAAAAATTCTAATATTTTCTAGAAAATATAGTTATTTCATTTATAATAATAGTAATAATTCTTTAGTTATTTATTATAGAATAAGTAATTAATAGAAAAATATATATCTTATATTTTATTATTTTAGTAAACTTTCTAGTATTTAGAACTTTAATTTTCTATAATTAAATCTAGTATTTTTATATTATTTTCCTAAAGGAAATTAGAGAATTAACCTAGTAAAGCTATAGGAATTCAAGTATTATATTAATATAATTTAGATTAAAATTATATAATATAAAATATATATTAGCTTTTCTTTAGTTCCCTAATATATTCTTAGTAATAATTCTAAAAATATAATCTTTATATAAATAAATCCCGGTTTTCTCTAATAAAATTAGGGGAATTATTTTTAATATTAATAGAATTCCTATATCTAAAGCTAGCTTTCTCTTTATATAATTAGCTTCTATATTCGAATTAATTAATATTATAAAAAAGAAACTATAATAAAACGAAAACCTATATAAAGTATACTAGAATATAAAACGTGACTTAATAGTAAAATAATAAGATTAAAAGTATAAATAGTAAAGTATAAATAGTATATAGTATATAAAAGCTTAATTAATTAAATATAGTAAAGGAATTATTATCTAGAACTATAGAAAAACCAGCTTTCTTATATAATTCCTATAAGTTATATATAAAAGGCCGCGGCCTTTATTATATAACTAAAATATTAAAACTATTAAAATAAAGCAATTTTAATAAAGTATAGCTTGCTATATTATAATACTTTAATCCGGTATTTACCTTTCCTTATTTTAATAATAACTTTAATTATTATTCTCGTTTTATAGGCTTTGCCTTTTATAATATAAATAAATATAACTATTATAGAATATATCTATTTCCTGGCTTTTTTAGTTTTAGGTATTTATATATTTTATAGCTAGACTTATTATAGTTATAATAAGTTAGTTTTTTCTAATTTAGGCAAGTAATAATATAATAACTCTTTTTTAATAAATAAAGCAAATTATATCCGGTTTTATAAACCCTAATATAAGTATTATATTAGATTCTATTACTATATTTTTATTATTCCGGTTTTATAAACCTTATAATAGAAATCTATTTCTCTTCTATTTCTCTTTATTATTTCTTTTTTTCTTCTTCTATTTTATTTCTTATATTATTTTATTAGCTTATTATTATATTTCTATTAAATAAATAAGTTTAAGTTATTTTTAATTCTTATAGCTATAGAAATAAGCTTTTTTCTTTCTTATAAAATATTCTTTTAATAATTAATCTTATTCCGAATCTCTTATCTTAAGCTATTAAATAAATTATTTTATTTTTATAATAAACTTATATATTCTAAATTATTTAATAGACTATCTAAATAAAATATAAAGGCTTAAATACTTTAGCCTAGTTACTATTTAATATTTTTAAACTTAATAAAGATATTATTACTATAGTTTCCTAGATCCAAAATAGAATTCTTTATAAATTTAATAAAGGTTTCCTAATTTGTAATATTAATACTTACTAATTACTTCTTATATTTCTAGATATCTCTAGTTATATTCTTAAAACAGGAAGTATAATATATAACCTTTATTATATTTATAGCTTAGGTAATTCTACTATTTTTATATTACTTTAGCTTTACCTAATAAAAGAAGTCCTAGGCTTCTTTAATACTTTTCCTTTTATAAATTAGTAGTTCTCGGGTTTTTAAAGCTCTTTAAACTAAAAATACTACCGGAAATATAATAGGCTCTATATTAGATATCTAAATATCTTTAAAATAACGAATCTAAACTTCTAGCTTTTCTAGATCCTTTTTCTATTATATCTCTGCTTCTAACTTAATAATATAATAGTAAGCCGCTACTAATTTCTCTATTATTATTATTCTACTAGCTAGTTCTAGAGGCGTCTAAGTTCTATTTCCTTTTTCTAATTAGGTAATACAAAGAATACCTAATTAGGCATTTCTCTAAATACCCGGCTAGGTCGCCCTAGTAGTAATAAAGGCGCTTCTTCTAGTTAATATTCTGGCTATTAATAATTTTGTCTATTAATGGCTTAACTATCTTATAATAAACTACTTCCTGAAGGTTAAATTAATTAGAATATAAGATATGTAATAGCAGGGTAATATATAAGTAGTTAAGGTAAGTAAGCTATAGAGTAATACTTATAAGTATAACTAATTCTAAGAATTAATTCTAGTAAAAGACTAATTAATGCCCCTTTCCAAAGCTAGGAGCATCTCCCTATATATTCCCTAGTACTTAGCCAAGTATGCGAAGCCCTTTACTTAATTAGGAAATACGATCCCATGCAATCCGTACGATTCTGATTACAAGATTTACCCAAAATAGGAAACTAGATCCATGACATCTGATACCTGTCCATGCGCCACCACGTGTGCCCATTACACTTTGCTTAAAAAGTTATTAGTTATCTATTACCTTTTCGCCCTGAGCCAGGCCCCCTTACTAGCGTGGACTATGTCTTACCGGACGAAGGGATATGTATATATACGCTCCTGTAAAGCGCCGAAGGCGCCGAACGCCGTGCCCCTAGCCTATTAAGGTCCTAATATTAGTAGAGAAATAAGCTTTAGAACTCCCAGAACTAGCGCTCTGTCTAGTTATACTCGAAGAATCACGATTGGCACCCTAAAATCTGTCTGGGGGATTCGATTGAACAGCTACATATCGACTAAACACAACACGAAACCACATTTAACGGAATCATTCCAAATACCTCCAACAAAAGAAAAGGAGATCCTCCTCACCAACACCACAATCACCCATTTTGTCCTCCTCTACGCTCCATCGGGCTCATGCGACATCCCATAAAATCAAGCAAAGCCGTGCTTCTGTCTCTGATGAGTTCTCAACTTCTCGGCACGGCAATATCCCCTTCCGCCATTGTTGGTGCATCCAATCCAGAGGCAATGGTATTTGATCCCGAGATGGACAGCCTCGATGTGACGCTGGAGGTCACTTGGTCGAGTGAAGGATTCCGTGCAAGATGGCCACGAACAGGGCATGCGTTGGACGACCGGCGTGGTCAGAGAAATTGGCGCGAAGCTCGCCGCCATTTGGGACTGCATCATCTGTGTGGGATCCTGGGCCCAGGAGTTCTGTTGTTGCATCGGCAACGGGGTAAACTCCATAGGATATACCTGGTTCTGGAAAGCTTGAGGACTTCCCATTGCCATGCTGTGATCCCAGTTGTTCGAGTAAGGTTGGAACACCGTACTCGCCATCAAAGGTCCCATGCTATCGAAGTAGGGAGGAACTGAAGATGCGGCTTGTTCGTGGTAGACAAGGGAACTCAGTGGTTGTGGTTGTGGTTGCGTGCCGACAGGATGATGATGACTATCCTGCGTGGGCATGAGTAGGCTCCCATTGAGGCCCATCGAAGCACCATTGAGATTGGCAACTCCGAGATTCTGAGGGTAGCCATTGGGCGTCTGCACATGGCTATTCAGGACCTGAGTATAATGTGGCCCCTGCGGCAAGATTTGCTGATCGTGGAACGGCTCTTGGTGGAAGTCTAAGGTTCCATGAGGGTAATCCCTTGCTTCAATCTCGGTTGGGATCTGTGAATACTCATCGGAAGCGACACCAGCTGACGGTACGTTGATGTCAAAGTTGGGGATAACCGGAAGTGACCGATCAGGTCCATGCCACGTGACTTCGCCCAGCTTAGGCAGAGGTGAAGGGAGAAACCATATTGAAGGCCTACACAATGCTTAGTAAAAAAAATTAAGACTCACCTGGCTGGGTGGCCAGGGTGTGTCACATGATCCTGAAATCCATTGGTTGTGGGTTCCTGGAAGGATGAGGCGGACGGTGGTGGCGAGGAGGGCGAGGGCGAGGGCGAGGGCATGATGAGTGACAAGGATGTTTTGGGGCCAATGAAAGGTCGAAAGAAAAATCACGAAAGTGGATAGAAGTTCGCTTCAATTGGACAACTGGCCAAAAATCAATTGAAAATTGGGGAGGGAGAACTCGCCCTTTTCTAATCGCGGATGGAGTAGTCGCCTTGCTCCGTTAGCTAGTTGCGCCTCAATTTACAGCCTTGCCACGTATCTTAACTTGGACCTTGTCCGTGGGGTAGCATACTTGGTAGTCCTCATAACTAGACTCACAACTAGCGCAGAAAGTTGTTATGCTCAGGTGTCCATACAAAGGTGTCTGGCCACACTTATATTTCTCCTCAAATTTGACACGACGAAAGAGCACTTGAAGCTCTCCTCCGTCAATCATACCCCGTCATCTGACCATCATGATCAGGCTCCGGCAGACCGAAACTCGTTGGGCAAGGAGCTTTCCAACACTTGTCGCATCGTCAATTGCATCGTATACTTGCACCTACGAGCGTGGGAAGGGTCCTTGTAACAAAGTATTTTCCAGGAAATGTGATCTACAGTCGGTCTCCAAACCCTTTCGTTACCATGTGACTAATATCTCTTCAAGCCGTCATTAAAGAAACCATACCAAACCTTCAAAGTGTCTCAAGTGCAACAGGGGCTTTCCATCACCCAAGGACCTCGACCGACACGATAGTTGTGTGCACAACAAAACAGTGATATACTTCTGTCCCCACGACTGGTGCAGAGACTCCATAAAACCCACCGCAGAGCACTGGTTGATCTACGGCTTTCCAAGAAAGGATCATTGGCAGAAGCACATGAAGCAAGAGCACTCCGCGTCGCGGGATCTAATACAAGCTCTGCAAACGCAGGGTATTCCAATGGCGGTTCTGAAAGATGACAGCTGGATCCTTGTCTTGCCCAAGCAGTTAGGGACTGGCTCTAGGGAACCTGGAAATGTCGGCATTCAACATGGAGGACCCAGTTAAAACGCAAGATCATTCCTCATTTGAGGTCAAGATGTGTGCCATACGATCACGACACATATAAAACTCGCAAACAATCAGATGGCAAACATAGCTTCGAGTTCTGGCTGTCACAAATCTATATCTCGAAGACAATCTTCCCTCTTGTCTTCCTACTCTCCGCCTTCAATAAGGCATTCTCCAACTTTTCCAACGGCGGTACACTATCGAGCACCGGCAGAAATCTTCCTCCGTCCATCAACCTCGTCACCCCACTCAGCTGTTTTCCGTCTGGCTCCATGACGAAAAACATGTTCTTCACATACTTCGCCTGCAACCTTCAGGTCTGTTCTGCTCGGCGGCTGGAAAACTATGACCAATATCCCACCGTCCTTCACAACCCACCATGCATCCTCCAGTCCTTTGCCACCAAAACAGTCAACTGTCAAATTCGCCTTTTCCCCCTCCTCCCCTGCCAAGCCCTCACATCAGTGCTCCTATAGTCCAACACCTCCTTCGCACCAAAAGTTTTTACAAACTCCACATTCCCAGCACTACAGGTTCCCACAACCTCAGCACCATATCAAATCACTAACCTCACAACCCATGTCCCCACCACTCCACTAGCAGCAGTGACAAAAACCTTCTTCCCTTCCCTCTTTTCCCAGCCTCGGCTTTCGGCCCTCCATGAACAAACAGGGCCGGCCACGCTGTCTGGGCACTCATCGGCACACTGGCCGCTTCAGCTCAACCCAGTCTCTTGGCTTGAGTGCCTGCTCATCGGTTGTCACAATCGTGTATTCCCGACCCGCACCAGCCCGCAAATAATTTGTGCGAGCCCAAACTTTAGAGCCGGGTTTGGATGGATAGCCTGCGGGAGAGGTGATATTGTTCCGGACACGTCGTAGCATGGGACTGCCCAGACTGGGAGTTTAGTGTCTGAAGAGGGAGGTGGAGCGGGAAAGTTGGTAGGCTAGGCTAGTTAGTTGTTGGTGATTGCGACGGCATGGACGCGGAGGAGGTCTTCGGTTTTGTTTGGTACTGGGATGGGTAGCGGGGAGTTGCTAAGAATATTCGTTAAGGGTGAGGGCCAGGCTTGAGGAAAGTACGGATGGTGGTTGGAAGGTTTGAGGTAGCCCTATTTTGAATGTGGGTTTCGGAAAGTTTGGGGATGGTGTAATTCATTTGGTCTAATGGCTTGGATTTGACGACTGAGATTTATCATGAAAACAAGTCCCTTGGGATTGAAAGATGCAGTTATGAAACATGGACTTACTCTCATATTCAATGCTTCTTTTTGCAGACATTATCTGATGGCCATGAGCACAACTTGGTTCCATCTCTCCGCCCTCTCCGAAGTGTTGGGCATGGGTTCTAATAAGGAGACATCCGCAGAGGCTGTAACTTCTCATGAGTCATGACGCTGGCGCACATTCCAAGGTGCATTCCGTAGCGGTACGGCCTCAGTAAAGTGTATCCCATGGACACCTATCACTTATTACGGACCGTATATCACGCAGTTCGAGCAGGGATACCAGGGAAACCAAGACTCCCAGGTCGATGTGCGTGTGTCAAATCTTGACCAAGAGAAAAAATTGCGCTCTAGTCACAATCTTCGATATCGACGTCTGTCCCTCTACTTTGAATATATATGGCCCCGGGTATGCATCCATCGAATTAACCGGTCACATACTGCCAGTAATGTACGATCCAGAACAAGAATTATGGGAGTCACCCGTTATCACTATGGCGCATTTTGGTCCGAAAGGACTGAATTCAGATATGACATTTCCACAGAGATTTCCGGCATTCTGGCAGCGAGTTCTTCCACAACCATTTCTGTCTGGCTCTCTATGGGGGTAATTATCTCTCCAGGGTTTGGGTATATAGTGGGAACGCAGGTCGTTTGCCTTCTCCTCCAGCTCGTTGAGGGGCATACCACTATTTTCAAAGGGCGAGGGATTGTTACAAGAGTAGAGAGAGTTCTGCTTCTTTAATGTATGCGCTTGAATGTCAGACAGGTGGATTGTAGGGCTGGAAAGGCTGAGAATTCACCGTGGATTTGATGATAAAGGTTACTCGACAAGAGGAATAGCGGGGACCTCGCTACTACGAGGGCGGTGTGGATTTTGTTTTGTTGAATTTAAATAATTTGTAGAAGATTGATATCATAAACAACACCGCTTTTGCTCCTTGTGCCTATTAGTTGTTACTTGTTGTCTCCCTCCCCTAGGCTAAGGAGAGAATATAAACGCAAGTATAACTATGGATAAACATTTGTCTTTTGGTGTTAAATGAGTTAATCTTCAACCTGCTATAGACGATCCTCAAAAACAAAAAGAAAATGCACCATATGGATCGTGCCGCTCCTATCAAATCAGCGCAATGCCAAGAAATTAGTATACCGTCATCTCCTTCCCGTATAACCTAAGTATATGTCGAGTGAGTGTAATACTACGAAAGATCCTAAGAGTCGATTAATATTGCTCTTGATATATCATTCCACTCCCCCACACCAATTATTCTCATGTCTATGGCTTCTAGTGCAAATTAATGGCAATATCCCCCTAGATAGAGGATTTATTATTCCCATGCCTGAGAGAATGTTATAGATAACGCTGATGATGATGATATTTATTTCCGTCCATAGGCTATGGTTGGCCAACCTCCCGAAGGGCATGGGGACGTACTAAGCTTATGGAAATGTTTATATTCAGAGTTATCCCCGTAGACCTTATAGAAAGCATTTTAACCCGGCGAACCCGGCGTACCGAAGCATATGACTTGGACCTCCCACGGCCAGCTGGGGTGGCCACCAGAGAATATAAGCTTGACCGTAGAAAGGTGTCTAGAACCTTTGTATCAAGTCCCAGTTGCCCGAACGGGATTAAAAGCTTCTAGACAGACCTACTACCGATATTCCAAACCCTTTCTTACGGCAGTGAGTAGGTAGGCACGCGCAAAGGCGCAATATTCAAAGCCCGCCCAAGTCCAAAACCGCCCTCCTAACATCTCTCAACGTGAACTCCAGAAGAAAACCACAGAAATGGCAACTTCTTATCATCTTCGGTCCGAAGTCTCTCCTTCAAAGCTTTCACCAGTTGCTGTATAATATAGGTCATTTCTTTAATAAGCCCGAAATTTGATCACAGCCACGGACCACGGTTGAGGTCTGGAATCTCGGTGACTAGCTTCTTCAACAATGGGCATTGAAGGGCCAAATAGTTCATGAGCCAGAGCGAGTCACGCTCATAGTCCAAGTATATAGGGCCCCAGGCCGCCTTTAGTGAGACCGCTGAATGGCAACTGATATCCTCGCAGAGCTGCTTGGCGGGCCTCTTGGCTGACATGGAGAAGCGGGGTGGGAAGAGAATGAGCATCCATGCACCGATATCTCCGTGTGATGAACTTGTCAATTTCCATTGTTGAGTAACCTAACCCGCCTTACAGACTTTGAGGATTCTGAGGACGGGGAGTGCCAAGTCCCAGACCTCATCTCGAAGCTCTTTCGGTAGCTTGGGGAATAAGGCGAACTTGGAGAGGGCAACGATGAATGTTTCGACATAATCGTTTGATCTTCCGAAGCCATATTACTTAGGCCCTGTTTCGCACGGACGCACGTCTTTTGATTGCTAGCAACTGCCAACAACCATTACTAGAGTTCAATACTCAATATTCAAAGCTAGTATTCGTATAATTTAGAGGTGTTTCGCAAGATACAAATACTTAATAATTATTGTAATTACGGAGGTTTTAGCTTTTTTTCTACTAGCTAATTTAGCCTCGATTTTAGCCTTATTAATCTCTTATTTATTTCTTTCTTAATTAGCTATCTTCTAATTCAAAGTACTTTCTTCTTTACTAATATTTCAGTACTATTTATAATAGTATATAATTGCTCTTAATACTAGTATAAATAGTTATAATTAAAGAGGTTTAATAACTTATAATAATTTTTTTAAGAAGAAGTTCTTATTAGAATTTTATTATAATATATAATAGTCGGTATTATTAATAGTAGTTTAAATAATAATTAACTTGAATTTAGTATTAAACTTATTCTAGAATAACTTTATTATATTAAGAAATAATATAATTAATAATTAAATAAAAGTATACAATAAAGCTTTCTAGAATTAGGGCATTAATAATATATATAATTACCTAAGGCCGAGCTTTAAATATTTAGTTTTTTTAGAACTGCTTATAATAAGTAATTCTAAAAAGACTAGGATTTATATAAGAATAAATACTAGTAATTAAATACTAGTAATAATTACTAGTATATAAAAATTTATGAAATACTAAAATCCCTTATAATTAAAAGCTAGTATTTAATTATTAACCAAATACTACTATTTAAAAGTTATAAAACAGGGCCTTAAGTAATTTATGAATTTGAAATAAATAGTAAAAATATATATTCTAAAAGTATTTTAGTATTTATTAGTAATAATAGGCTTAAATATATAATTAGTAATAAAGAATATTAAGAAATAGCTATTTTACTAATAATAAAAGCTAAATATAAAAATAAAGTAGCCTTTATTAGAGAATTAATACAAGAATTATTTTGAGATATTCGAAATAAATTTAAAAATAAAGAATTAATTTATTTATTATATATATTAATAATAAGAACTTATAGTAAATTCGTAATTATAAATCTTATTTATATAGAGATTATAATATAAAGTATTAGAAATACAAGGTATTTTCTTATAATATATTATATATAAGTTATTAAAGGGCTTATAAAGTTTTATTTCAATTTCTTTATAGCTTTTCTTGTTTTTATAAGCTTTTATGAGTTTATATAGCTTAATAAATACTAAATACCCTCGAATTCTTATAAATATAAATAAGTTTAATAATTAGCTTTATAATATATTTCTTTATATATTTTTTATTCTGAATTCTAATTCTAATTTATTAAATAGCTAATTAAAACTCTTTTTTTCTTCTAATTTAATAAATTCTTTAAATATATAAAAAATAAAAAGAATATATAATATAATTTACTATTTAATTCAAATAATAAAAATAATAAATTACTTATATTAGTTTATATTCTTCTAGTATTTTCATTTATTACTTTTATATTCTTTATAATTAGCCTTAAAAAGCATTTAATTAATACTAGAATTAAAGCTATTTATATATTTAAAAACAAGAAATCTTTAAACTAAATTAGAAAAATAATAAAAATACCTAAAATAGCTTTTTATTAATTTATTATTATTATTAGAAAGTTTAAATAATAAAAGAATAAAAATATATTATAATCTAATTAACTTGTAATTCTTTTTAATATAATTAAATATATTCTTAAAGTTATTTTTTTAAAATTCAATAATAAAAGACTTTTCTTATATAATAATTATATTAAAATATTTTAAAAAGTTCTTATATATATTAAAGCTATTTTTAATATAAATTAATAATTAAACTTAATTCAAATAACCTAAATATATTAAACTAATTAGCTTAGTATTTAAAAAAAGTATTAGATATTTAAGAAATAAAAAAAATATTATTATTATAAATAAGATTATAATATAATTAAAAAATAAAAAAAATAAAAATATAAAAATTATTTAAAGACATATATAATAAGTATTATATAAATTAATATTAGAAAGGCTTTTCTGAATTTATATTTTGGAATTACTTTTATATAATAAAAAAAAGCCTCATTATATATAAGAAAAAAGATTTCTTAAAAAAAGAGAAATAGAAAAGCTAATTTAAATATAATGAATTTATTAATTAAGAAGGCAAATAAATAGAAATAAAAAAATGTAAAGGAAATAGCTAAATAATTAAATAAAAGCATATAAATAAATTCTTAAAAATATATAAAAAACTTGAAAATATAGTAAGATTATTAATATATTTATAATAAAGAATAATTAATATAATACTAATTAGAATAAGTATTAAAAGATAATTCTTATTAAGAAACTCTTGCTTTTTATAAAAGAATATTAAAAGAATTAATTCGATATAATTATTTAAAAATATTATATTAATATATAAATCTTATTATTAAGAAATAATTTATAACTTATAAGAGATTATAAAAATACTTTAGTTAATAAACTTATCTAATCTTAATATAATTAAAAAGACTTGATTTTATATAAAAAAGGAAATAATAAAGCAAGAGCTAATAACTAATAAAAAGAAGCTTAAAGTAAAGTAAGAGAAGTACTAATAATACTTACTTTAAAATAAGATTTAAGAGTAAATTGAGGTAATTCCTTATTATATAAAAGAGATAATTTATTTAAAAGGGGGCAATAAGTATAAATTTTCTCTTAAAGAAGAGAAAAAGAAGGGTGAAGAAAAAGTTCCTATATACTAGATTTAGAGATTTGTATATTGTGACGGCTGGTGTCACATGGTTGCTACGGGTTGGTTTCAGCTAAGGTTCCAAGCTAAGTTCCCAAGCTAAGGTTTAAACCAAGCTCGGGTTCCAAACCAAGCTCGGCGTTTTCAGTGGTCTTGGCCATATCTACTTATTCACTGCCACACCTCACTCCTTTTCCCCTTAGCTTTAGATCCTCAAGACATTGGAATCTTAGATCTCTGTGCATTTGCCATTGCTTTGTTCCTGCCGTCACATATATATAGAATCAAAGTTATCAAAAAACAATTAAAATTAGAGGCTTTATAAGCAATAGCGGGGTAAGCCACACTTTCAGAGAATCCTTACAGGGCTTACAGGAGACCAGGAATAGCTATAGGGAGATTAAAGTAAGACCTTACAGGCCCTTTAGTGGCCTACATAAAATATATTATGAAAAACACCCTGTATTCCCGATACTTTATGCCGCTATCTACGTACTGTAGATTGAACTCGCGTCATAGAAATTTATCGTGGATCTAAAATTTGAAAATGAAAGTATGACAAAGATTACGGAGATCGCGGCATAAAGTGACGGGATTATAGGGCATTTCGACACCGAGCCCACTGTAGAGTTCAATTCAGGTGTTGCGCACGCTATAAGGCCCTATATCTCCAGGCTATATGCCCTAAAAACACACCGTGAAACATTTGCAAGGTTACGGGGATCTTTAAGGGCATTTAGCACTGCTGGCAGAGCAACTATAGCGCTTGGATACTAAAGGGCTAATTCTGTTAAGGTAATTAGCAAGTAAGCCCTTGTAAATACTGGGGATAGGCTCTTGAAAGATGTGGCACCCGTTATCAAAGGCTTATGGCTTGTTTTCAGGGCAGTAGCCTAGAAATACAAGGGCTTTTAGCGGCTGAGTTCGCTAGGAAACGAGTGCTACGGTGGAGTTCTAGTATTAAGGCCCTATAATCCCGTCACTTTATGCCGCGATCTCCGTACGTGCCCCTCCCCCCGTTTCCCGCACGAGTCACTGCATCAAGACGCGACATCATCTAGTCTTCTCAACAAGCATCATCCCACGGTCGCGAACAGAGTAGCCTACTTTCTGCGAATCAAAGAGGAAACTGAAACACGTACCGACCACTTGGAAAACTTAAGATCAAATGCCGTCCTCTCACTTCTGTGTTTAGAATAAGCCCAAGGAAAAGAAAGAAGCTTCGATGGTGTTGATTATAGAGCGAAATTTCTCGCACCGGAAACAATATCACATCGAAACTGGGTTCTCACAATACATTCATCACTGACAGCGAATAACATGGATGAAATCCCAATGCATTCCTTATGAAGCTATGGCTTAATAAGCATTATCGGGCGCCTATCTAGATAAATATCCCCTGGGGTGTTACTCCCGTGGCCTGTCATCCCCATGGTCTATCAATATTTGTTATCCTTGCCATATTGTTCATGCAAGAGGCCAATCTATCGCAGTTCCGCACTCAATAGCGAGACACCTCCAGCAGTTAACTGAGTCACTTCCCAAGGTAGCTATACGGACTTCCAAGAATGGGAAGACGCACCATCTAGTCACCGATTCTTGCCTTCATTTGTTCTTCGGTAACGAACTCCATCTGTGGAAGTGTACCCTCTTTCTCAATATGCATTTTCTTTTTCCATAAATATTTGAGGCTTTCCCGGATCTGCAATTCCTGAATTTGCCTGTAGAGAACTTCCCGTGAGCCCCATCCTTCTAGTGGAGGCCACACCCACGTCACAGCGGATAGCTTCGGAAACCCACACAAAAATTCGACTATATCTTCTCGGTCGAGGTAGAAGAGAGGTATCCGGTGAATGGCCATGTGTTGGATCTTTGCTCGCATAACTTCAACATCTTGAGGAAGTGTCGGTGTGCTAGCCAGTCGACGCCATCCGCCCGTGAAAGCCGCAAAGCTGGTCTTGAGCTTAATATAGACTGTGTCGCGCTCCCAATCGAAGTAAATGGGATGATTCAACAGACCATCGAAAGCGCGCTCGTATCTGCCGAGTGCGATCTGGCGGGAACGGGAACAGGTATGGAGAAGAGGAGTCGCGACCACATTGATGTTGGCTTTGCTTACGGGGTCATGGCTGAACAGAATGGGTTCTTGGTCTGTGTGGGTAGGTCGGTGACATAGTAGAGGTAGGATGCGGGGATCTGGAAACGTGAATTTCCAGACCATGTCTCTGAGCTCTGGGGGGAGTTTTGGGAAGAGAGTGAACTCTCTAGATGCATCGGACGCGGTGTTCGCGACAGCGACTGAAGCGACCGGAGCACGGGGCTCTATGTTTGCAATCGCCCGGGACTCTCTGGTTGTTACCTCCATCTATGAATAACGTAAGCTCAGATGCTCGATGCTGTAACGATCTTTCTGCTGGCAGTAAACTCCAAGGAATGCGATTTGGGTTCACTTTCAAGAGTACGGCATGTTGAGGTGGAAGGTTCGTTGGTAAAAGAGGACGGTACTTGCATTTAAATACTTGGAAGTCTGGGTTGTTCCTGTTAAGGTTGTTCTGATGTGGCGACAGTGCGAAAAAAATTCCTGTTCCCTGGGTTAAGGGGTCTAATTTATGCATCCCCTGAGAGATGTAAGCAAATAACTGTTTAAATTCCTATTCACATTTAATACGGCGAGTTTTGGCTCTGCGGAATAAACAGGTTTCGTTGTGCCCAACATTAAATATTGAAGTGAGGTTATTGTAAGATCACGCTCTGGTGACAATGCGCCTCCCTGATGGCGGCGTCAACGAGCACGATCCCTCATAATCCAACTCGTAGATAACAAGTTTCTCTTCTGTTCTTGTCCTGAACCTGGTAGTGACCCATTGCTAATGCAACGCAAGTCCTATGTCCAAAGCCTTCCTCCAACTTTAGCACCCTGAGCTGTATGTACATTATTCATCTCCGTTGCTGCCGTGTTGCGTCGTTGATGAATACGATAGTGGGAGGCTTTCTGTAACTTCTCTTAACTTTTTAATCTTTCAACCAATGTCGCTGAAACTTTGGCATAAATTCTGCTTTCGTGATCAGAAAACTTTCAGAACCCTCCCCTTTCGGCTGCTGGATAGTGATTGTTTCCAAAGAATCTATCCAGGTCTGTACCGTCAGTATGAACATTAATAGGCTTCTAGCAGCAGCGAATTCGAAATGTCGATGTTTTGTTTCGCACTCGAGATCGATATAAGGGGGGCGTCCTCTATATCCCTTTGGCGAATTTGTTCGAGGACCGAAAATCAGTGAAGCGCAAAGTTTCCTACCTCCAATCAAAGTAAAATGGCGCACCAAATTGATTCTTGAAAGCAAGCTCGTATTGACAAAGAGCTATGTTTCGGGGGCGGGAGCAAGTGTGGAGGAGAGGCGTGGCAATTCCATCGGCGTCGGCTCTCCATTTGCAGACTTCATGATGAGTGGCATTAACTGTGACGTTTCGAGGAGCCGAATCAAGAAGGAGAAGGAAAATGAGAGGATATGCAACGAGAACAAAACGGTGATAACAGAGATGGCCGAGCATAAGAGAATATGCGACGGGAAGAAGAAGGGACGGCAGAGAGGGTTGATAGAGCAGGGGAAATCAGAAAGACGATAAGCAGAATTTAGTACTCATTATGGCAAAAAAAATGGCAAAAAAATCTTAAATCCTTATCCGTTTCACTTTCAACTTCAAAAGGTGTTCACTGTTAAGCCTTTGAGATTTTTGAGACAGTTCCATCTGTCTTTCAACCATTCAAAGGATCCTTCATTGTAGACCTTGTTCATAGATCAATGTTATAAATGGCAGCATTGCGCGCTTTGTTCACGATGTTGCCTTCTTTCTACCTGTGTAAAGAAAGAGAAATCCCCATTATCTCATGACTAAATTGTCTTCTGCTGGCTGGTAAAACCGAGCAAAGGCCATACAACATGTATGAAAAACTCCAATCAAGAACAGGTCATTCTTGCACTTGAATATCAATTTCTTTCTCCAAATCCTTCCTGCAGTAGAGTCTCAAGTCTATTTGACCAATACTCTTCAAGAATGCTGAGACTGAGCAAGCTATACAACCCTATTCATGAATTGAGCAGTGGGCAACCGACCAAATCCTCTGTGCCTCTGCGCTTTTTGAACCCCTTGAGGGGATGGTCTTTCATCAAAGGGACCGATCCATACGTGCGCCAACTCAATTATAACCTTCAATACCTTGTAAAGGGGGAAGGGGTAGGAGACACGTGGTCCAGGACTTCCTCTCCACTACGTGCAAGAAACCAGAGTTCTTGCTTCCAGTTCCTGATTGCAGGTATCTTCGCCACAGTGTCACCCACTTTGCCATCTACATTCTCAACCTTTACTTTAAGTAGGCCACTCTCTAGTTGCTTGGCTCTTCCGTGCTGTCGTCTTCGAAAAGAGAGTCCATGCTAAAATAATCCCCATAACCCACAGTTTGACTTTCGAGTCCCCTCCTTCCTCTGAAGAGTAATTCCCGTAAAGGAAATCCAGGTCATCCCAGTTTCCCTCCTCGTTCTGTCCTTGCTGAAGATTTTCGACATACCTCCTTGCCTCCCATATTAGTTTCGGATAATCGCCATCTTTATCCTCGCTTTCTGGTTGATCTTCCTCTCCTGCTAGTCTGTTCTGAATTCACAATTAGAACATTATCAGAACAACCAAAGGCTAAAGCAGTAAATAATTCACTTCCTGTTTATATAATGTATAATTGCTCGCAACTAGGACTAGTTTCTTAACAACTAATTCTATCCGGAAGAGCCTACAATGGCCAGACTTTCAAAGATTGCCGGATATGTCATTGCAGCTGTTGTTGTACTCACAATTGTCCTTTCCGAAATTGCTGAACGCAAAGAGGCCGCAGATATAAATGCAGCTCTCGACGATCTCTTGGCGTCTCTGACAAAGATTTGTGCACGACTTGAGCTCGAGAAACTCAACCGCATAACAAGGAGTCCATGGATCGTGGCTGCCACCATTCCGCAACCCTGGGAGATACCTCAGCCCTACCGTAAAACGCCCGGAGATTGCGAACCAGACTGGGCAGCTATTGGCTTTGAAGAAGCCGGATCCATCTACTTCGACTTGATACATGGCAATTCGTCCTGTGCTACCACGTCAGAGAAGCCAGCAAGTGCTCTGGCTTCCCATACAGCAGCTTATATTTCGGAACAGCCAACTTCAACTAGCAAGTTTCCTCGGGAGACAGGTCTTTTGAGTGGTGGCTGAGTCCGAATGAAACAATTATTTGGAGGAACTTATATCCATAGATAGACCAAAATAATGGCCCTCGGGCATTCTAAAAAAGCTCAAAACTGCTTTGTGACATTAGGGCAGATGAAAATTTAGCTCAAATTGGATGGAAAGACTTTATGAAAATATCCGAGATATTGAATTAATTCGACTTAAATTTGAAAAGGGACCTTGATTATTTTATCATTTTCGTCTTTTTCGAGGACGTTCATCTCCTTCAACGCGTTGTCTGTCGGGGTTACGTTTCCTCGCCCGGGCTCTCGATGTGGCAGCAGCAGGTGGGTTGTTTGTGGCTAGACTGTTCCCTGCATCTAACAGTGAGTCGTTCCCAGTTTCCGTTGACGGGGTGTTTGCGATTGTCGAGTTGGTTTCTGCTACCTCGGGCTGACTTTGGACTCGAACTTGAAGTTCATCCGGTTCCACATCAATGGCTTGCTCGGTAGTCCCCAAGTGGCTCAGTAAAGCATGTGTTCCAGGTCGGCGTGCTGGCTGTGGTGGCGATGAATTGTCTACTTCTGTCTCAGCTTGACTCCGAGAAGCCAGGGAATTTTGCACGACCCCCCGAAGTCGGATATTGCTTCTTGTGCCGGTTCGTTTTTCAAGCCACTCGGGAACATCAAAGAGTTCTTCCGGTCTGAAAATCCATGGTGGAGGTCGATCGCCCTTTTGCTCATCATCATCAGAATCTGACAGTATTGAGCTTGATGCGTTGCTATTGAATTCCTGCTGGTGCCTCCAATATCTGTCATAAAAGTCTGGCACTTCTCGCAAGTCCCGGAACCAGACGTTGCAGAGTGGGCACTTGAAGACTTCTTTCTCATCGGACTCTGCTCTCTGGGCAAATAGCTCTTCCATGCAGTTCAAGTGGAACATGTGTCCGCAAGGGAGGGAGTGTGGACCGCCACATTCTTCTATGTTGTCCAGTGGGTACTGACACATTGCGCAGTTGTCAATCGGTTGGGCTAGAGAAATAACGAACACTTTGCTGAAGAGGTCCATGTAAGGGTTTTCAACGCCCCCTATGATGAATGGCTGTTTACCGACCGCCATTCTTACTTTCACTGCCCGATATTGTTCGTCGCGAATATTCTGGACCCATCTCTCCGTCCTTCTCTTTGCTCTCAATCGTCGCACTTCCTTTCTGTTTTTGAATCTCAATCTTCGCTGGGTCCTGAGCGTTCCTGAATTCGGAGTCTGCTCTTTTGTTCTTGCATCTGCAAGACTAATCTCCTCCAGAGCCCTTCGATTGTACAATGCGGCTGCCTCGTCAAACCGCGCATTGTAGACCTCATCTGGTTCTCCTAGAGTCATTCCTTCTTTCACCTTTTCAAACAATAATGATCGCGGTCCTTCATTCTCGGGAATTGGATGCTGTGTTCCGAATCCATGCTCCTGTCCCAGTCCACAGAAAGAACAGCGCTTGTCTTTCCCTGCCCAGAACCAGTAGTCTATCTTTCTGTCGTATATGCAGTTGTTGTTGCATTTTCCCCCTGATTTGGGAGTCCGATGGTAGTTATGAGAGGTTGCATGCCCGCATTTGGAAAAGTAGAATGTAAACTGGCCGCAGTGGGGTTGAAATGAAGTTGGCATAGTTGCATTTGAAATTTGCTGTGAAAAATCTCTCAGAATCGTTCAAAATTGAGGCTTTTATTTTCCCCAACAATTCAGATTTGCACATAAGTAGTCATGCGTTCCGCGGTGACCTAAGGCTCCCCTTTATCTCTTCGTCCTCTGAAAGCGTACTTGTGGGACATGATTTGGTTTTCGAATAAAGACACTTGACCTTCGGCGGCACCACCGACAATGAGAATAAAGTAATAGTAGTTGCGCTAGTATGATTCTCAATCCGAAGGCTGAACAACAAAGAAGACTATGAAACTCTGCCGAATTTCCAGGCTCTGCAAAGAAAAGAACCTACTTCAAATAAGGGGTTGTGGAGCCTGAGAGTTTCTAAAACTAATAAATTCGGTTTCATCTGGTTTCGGCAAGTATTTATTTTGGTCTTTATTTTGAGCACCCTCCTGTATTTTCAGGCGGGACTGACACCGACGTTACCGCCTATACTTAACACAATTTAGGTGGATTCGAGCCTTTTTAATATTACTTTCTTATTTAGAAATTTGAGGCTAGTTTCTAAGTTCTTAAGATTTTTAAATATAACTTTTTTAATTTTTAATTTTTTAAAATTATTTAAATTCTTATATATATAATTATAAAAGTAATAAGAGCTTTAATAAGCTTAATATATATAAAAAAAAATTCTGAAAAGACTTTAGTATAATTTAAGTAAAGCGGCCGTAAAATAGTTATTAAAACTTATATATTTTTAACTTTTCTTTGTTTTGATTTAAAAAAAATATTAAATTTAATTACTTATATAAGATCTTTAAAAATAGCCCATATAAATCTATAGAGAATTTAATAGAGAATTAAATTAATTAATAGGAATTTAAATAATTACTTTATTTAAAAATCTCAAAAGCCAAGTGCAATGTGCGAATGCGCAATGTCATGAAAAATCGGGGTTTTGGCAGTACAGGGTTAGAGGCCTCGGTAGATAGCGCTAGTATGTTTTTAGATTCAGTAACAAGGCGAGGCTCCACCACAACCACTGCTTTTATCACCCCCACAAGCAAGAACTCCCCATTCCCTTCCTAAATCCCAACACCAACACCCAGACCACCCATCCCCAATTCCCAAGTTTCTGGACGCCATAGGTGACTCCAACCCGCCGCTGCTCGTTAAAGAGCACCCAAAACAGCCTCAGCTGAGGAATGTCAAGCTGCCCATCTAATGAACCACGCAGAAAACGCAACAACCCTCCCCGCTCAAGATCCCGCCCATCTGAGACAACTACTGATACCGCGGAACGGCACGCGCGTTTTCTGTCTGTCGGTTGCAGGCCTAGGCCGGTCTGATGGCTTGCGGGGTGGGGCGAGAATGACTTGAACCTTGACGAATCAGTAAATCAATCCTGCACCATAGGTCCCAGTTCATAGAAAACAGTAACAGCTGAAACCCAGATGCAAGCCATCAAAGATGTGGCTCGAATGGGCATTCGCATGGATCGCTCGACCGTCGAAGACAATGAGCTACAGGGGTGGTAAAGATTAGTGATAGTTAATAAGCCGGCACTTCTCGCAGAGTCTCCTACGATACCGACACAGGCAGTCTCGGGGCAGCATGCCAGACGATGTCTTTGCAGAGGGAGGCTTGGTCTTCGCCTTGTAAGGCGATACACGTTGTATATGGAGGATAGTATATCAAAGCTAGAATATCGGAGCTATTGAGAAGATTGCTTGATTACGGTTTGTTTGGTGAAGTTATCTGGGAGTAATCGATATTTATATAAATGTTGTTAGGGGAGGGGCTTTCTGCTTCTCTAATATTTTAGGCAGGTCCTCGTCGCATAGAAAACAACCAAGCTTCGTACGCCCCACATATCCCATGACAGATGACAAATGGTTTTAGCACGCCGTTTCCAGGTGTGAGAGGCTATCTTCGCACCCATACGGCGAATTCTAGCTCCGACTACATTTGTTCAAACCCGAAGGCCTAGATCCTCTTGGCCGCAGTGCGTTGTGATGCTGCTAAAATGAGGTCTACCAATGGGATGATGTTGTCGATCAGTGTACGAGGTTCATCAAGGGTCTAAGTCGCATAAAGCCTCCATGCGCCGACTTACCTAGGCTAAGCTATCCTGAATCTCAAAGCTGTGGCATTTAAACCGAGTAGATTATCGATTCATTGGTACCGGATGGAGTTGTCTGCTCAACGGAACAAGCCGTCTATACCCGGGGCATTGCCCATCGGGCTCAACTTCAGCTACGCCACCACGTTCAGCCTACTTGTTATCGAGAGACAAAGCCTTCAACAATACTAGCCAGCTGTTCTAGATCTACAGCTACAAACAAGAGTTGAGCATAAGTAGCACTCCAAATCTCTCAATCTTTGCCCTCTCGATAGATATATATCTGAAACTCATCCATTCAAAACAAGCTTTCCAATCTCAATTTCATCTTAGCGGTTTCCGAGGACAATGGCAAAAGAGGGCTATAGATTGGGGAATCTTCCCGATGAATACGATTCGCGTGATTATCCAATCTTCCCTGCAAGCGAAGTTCAAGACCTCCCATCTATCATGACGAGTACTTCAGAAGCTGGCCATGGCCCTCCAAAGCCTTTCATCCTTCCAGATCTCCCGCCAATCTATAATCAACTTTACATTGGTAGCTGTACAGCAAATGCATCATGCGCCGCATTGCGTTATGCAGAAAGGAAGTCTTCAGGCAGGCAGTACAAAGACTTTGAGCCATCTAGGCTCTTCGCCTACTACTATGGCCGTATTGATCGTCGCCCCGAAGAGCTTGGGAAAACCGAAGAGCTCGCAGACATCGAAAAGCGGATCCAAGAGAGGATCAAAAAGGATACAGGGTCCAACAACCGCAAAATCATCCACACTTTCCTGACGCAAGGAATCTGCACAGACGCCCTGTGGCCTTACGGTACGCCATCCAGTGACAAAAGCACCCACCTATTCAACGACACCTCGAAGCTGCCTAACCCGTGTGAGCCCAAGGACTGGAACAAGGTATCCTGGCAAGCCAATCCTGTCAGTCACCCCCACGACGGCAAAGGCCCCGCTGGCGAGAAGGACTTGATTCCTCGCAACATCAGCTATTACCGCATCTACGACCCAAGTGTCACACCCACGGTGGATCCCAAAACTCAGATGCCTATCTCAAACTGGCAGATCATCTACAACAACCCCCCAGTGGCCTTGCTTGAAAAATCCCTGTCCAGCGGCTTCCCCTTCATCTTCGGCTCTCGGCTGTACACTGGTGCCAGTCTGGAAAGCAGCGAGATCGACAAGAACGGGGTCTTCGTTAAGCCGCCGACAAAAAACTTCAAAGATGAAGGAGGACATGCGCTGATGGCGGTGGGCTTTGACTCCTCGAAGAGATTATTCTTGGTACAGAATTCCTGGGGTAAGGATTGGCCGGCTGATTGTAAGGATGAGAAGATGAAGGGTCGTTTCTGGATGCCGTATGAGTGGTTTGAGGCAGTGGTGGATGGGTTACCGATTACGTATGATTTCTGGGTTATCAAGTGTGGGACTGGTAAGTAATTGTTATAAGTAGGTATAGGTACAGATTCGTCAGGTATTCTATTAATAATTATTTATTATAAATAAAAAAGCTTATATTTTTGAGAAAATTAAAAAGATTTAAAAGTAATTTATTTTTTATAATTATATAGGGCTAATAATTTTAATAATTTCAATAATATTAAAGAAAATAATAAAATTAGTAAAATAATTATAAAAAGCTTTTAATTATATTTATATAAGCTTAACTTTTTTTTTAAAAAAAAAGTATTATAAATTCTATTATTAAATAGCTATATTATATTATTCTAATATTATTAAAAGTATATAATTAATATAATTAAGGCAAAACTTAATTAAAAAAACATATTAAATCTAATTTAAATTAAATTTAAAACTTCAACTTCGAATTTTTTAGAATAATATAATAAGCTTTTCTTAATTATATATATTTTGTAAAATATTTTTATTTTACTAGTTATTAGAAGCTTAAAAAGCTTTTATTTTATTTTATTTATATATTAAAATATTCGAATTTAGACTCTAATTTAATTTAAAGAAATAAGAAATAATATTATATAAGCTCGGACTAATTAAATAAAAATATTTTTATTAGCTAAATTATTAAAATTATTATAATAAAATTAAGTTTTTTATCTAAGGAATATAATAATTTATTTAATAAAAGCTGGTTTAGGAATTTCGAATTAATTAATAATTTTTTAATAATACTATTAAAAACTTATATATTATTATTTTAAACTAGTTATAAAAATATTAGTTTTCGGGCTTTATTAAAATTATTAACTAAATTATAGCTTTATTCTCTTCTTATTTCTTCTTTAAATTAGCTTTTTTTTATATATAAAAATAAGGTAATTAGTCTAAATATATTTCTTAATTTAATATATAAAAATTAATAAAGTTATGGTTTTTAATTAAATATATAATTATCTTAAATTCTTATATATATATATATCTTTATTTTTCGACTTGGAGTTTTTCTAGTGAAATTTCAAAGCTTATTATGCGACTATACAAATTTCTACTAAGCGGTAATAGCGCTAGAAATATTGGCAGAATCAAGCTTATTAGTGGAATTAGAGACAGTCGGACTGCGGAATGAATTGTCTCGAGACAGTTCGCCTGGGGTACTGAGGCCCACAGCTAGCTAGCGGACAAATCCGAGAAGCGAAAAGTGATTTTCTGATTTTCTGATTTTCGCACTGGCGCCCCGCAAAACGCAAAAATAGTAAGGGCGTGCTTGCTTATCTAATTAACGAAGTAAAGAGCCCTATACACTACCGTGTAAAATCGTGCCAAAATTAGGCCGGATAAGGATAAATTATGAAATGAGTATTTATTACAAATACTATATAGTTAGGTAACCACAGGCTATAAGCCCTTCTAGGATAACAGCTAATAATAGGGGTCTAATAACTTCCTTAATCATTTTTCCCGAGATTAGAAATAAGAAAATAAAACTATTCAAAATAACTAAGAAGCCGGCTAATTACTTTTTTTTGTAATTAATTAATAAAATCATATAGGGATAATATTACTCGAGTTTTTAGTACTTATATTACAAAAAGATATATTATAATAGTTAAGACATACCCTGAACTTAATTCCTATTAAAATAACTTAGTGAATTTTATTAAAATAATACTATAACTTTTAATAAATCTATTATTATATTATAAAGCTATTACTAAATAGGCTTATATAAATATTAATTAAGAAGAAATTACAAATAGATTAAAAGATTTATATAGAATCTTAGTTAATCTGTATATGGTCTAATAGTAATTATAAGAATGAAATATCTAAATATATACTTAAATAGTAGATATGCCTTTTCTTTATATATAGATTATAATCCTGTATTATCTAGGAGATATAGATAAGGAAATACTTGAGGATCTTGAGAATTATAGTTATATAGCTTTAATTACTAGAGTTATCCGTATATATAAGAAGCTTGGTCTTATTTATTATATAACTATAATAAATAGGCAAGTAGTAGACAAGTAACTATTTATAATACTATAGAGTAAGCTAAATAATAGGCGGGTTATAGGTTATAGATAGCGGTATTTATATATATACTTCCATTAATAAGGTTTATTAGTAATCTAATTAGTTTTTCTATACTTTACTATTTTGCCCTAGCTTAGAAGGTTAGGGCCTTGTTTACTAATATATTTTATTATCTATAGGAAGAGCTTATATATAATATTATGACTCCTGGATCCTAAAGTAATTATACTATAAATATAACGGATATAGTCTAAGAAAAGAAAATATATTATATCTAGGCCAGACTAGATTTAGTTAATTAATAGATATAATAAGCTATTACTATTTGGAATTAAGATATATGCTTATATTAATACTTATTTATATAATATTATCTGAATATATATCGGAATCTCTAATTAAACTACCTATTCGGTTATATAGTAATATCTTTAGATTTGTATTTAAATAGGCTATTACTCTTACTTCTTTAGGGCTAATCAAGGCTCTGAACTTTCCCTTATTACTAAAGTATACTTTATATTCTTGCAGATAGCTAATCCGTTAGTTATATATATAGAGAATTACTTTATTTCTGGGAAAAGTACCGAGAATTAGCAGGTTGAATCCTAGTAGCAGGAGCTTTAGAAGAGCTAGCTATACTAGTAGTATATAAGTAATTCTGTTTCCCTATATCTGCCTTTTATTCTTTCTATTATTAGGAGAAAGTATTAGATACTAATAATTATACTACTTTTTATTAAGGCTATTAGGTTTAGTATTATAGTACCGGATTATATAACTAATTCTGATTAGTATATATAGAACTACTTTTAGGAACTGGCTTATACCGGGAATTATAATTACTAATACCTATAGGACCGGATTACTTTACTAGTACTTTATATATAATAGATCTAAAATAAGGTATATAGGTTTATGGACTTATGAAATATCTATAGGATTAGAAAAGACAAATCTAGGCCTAATATAGTAGCCGGCAAGCTATTTAGACTATATATGAGGCCCCTAGGCGGGATATAGTACTAGGATTACCCTATAGATATAGAGCTTTATAATATAATCCTTAATAATTATTTAGTTTAGAATAAGTAATATAATCTTATATAGCTCTATATAAATAGTTTATTTATATACTAATATAAATATTAATAAGTTTCTACTAAGAGAAATATTAGAGTAATACTATTAGAAGCTTATATCTTATAGTATAAATATAGCTAATATTTATATAGAAGATACTAATAGAAACGGCAACTAACTATATATTTAAGCTTATTACTAGCTCTAATATATAGTCCGGATATATATAGCCTTAGGGCAGCTACTAATATTAGGAGAGTCCAAGAAGCTAACTAGTAAATATAATACTACTATTATACGGAATAGAATCCTTAAGTAAGTTGTCCTAATAAATACAAAGTATATAAATAATATATAAGCCGGAAGAATATCCGTATAGTTTCTAATAATCTAGAACTTTACCCAGAAATAGCCCTTTATTAGTAATACTTCTAATAATATGGGATAATTAAACGAGCCAGTTATAAAGTAACTAGGTATATTAAGATAAGTATTATTTATTATTAAATATATTATTTTCGAAACCCTTTTCTTACTTTTAAAAATAGTATTAATAGAATTATTAAGTTTATTTACTATATAAATATTCTATATTCTTAAATTCTTATCTCTTAAAATAGTACTATTATTTCTCAAAACCTGCCCTAATACTATATATCCTATAGCCAAATACTAGTATAGTAATATCTAATATTACAAGTTCTATTAATCTACTAATAATAAATATAATATAGAGGCCGCTGCTTTACTTGCCTAGAGTAATAATACTAGTAGACTTAAATCTTATAGCTCTGGAATTCCGTCCGTATTTGCCCTTCTCTTTATACCTGAAATACTTTAGATCTCTAGCTTTTCTTAGTATTCTTATCCTGTATCTTTTCTTCCAGGAATATCTATTATACCTATTCCTCTAGTTACTATTACTATATAGCTACTAGATACTAGTTCTGTTCTATTCCAGGCTCCTCCTATTCTAATAGCCCTATAACTACTCTCTTCTATATTTCCTTTTATTACAAGCTATATTACTTAATCTAACTATTTTTCTAGTAGTACTTATACTACTATATAAGCTTAACGGGCTATAAATACGAGAGTTATTTAGGCTACTACCCAGGCTATAGCTCCTTATACCGGTAATAGGCTACCTGGAGCCCTTTAAGGTCTTATAAATCAAAATATAGCCGGATCTAGTTTTATGAAATTATAGACCGTGGTTTTATAGCTAGTTCTCTATAAGTAGACATTTAATAATATAAAGAATTAGAGAGCTAAGTAAAGAACTATCTAACTTTCTAAAGAAGTTAGTAATAAGTTTTCTTCTATTTCTTTTACTAGATTCTTTATATAAATTCTAATAAATATTTTTTAATAAATAGCTTTTAATTTAAAATAAATAATTAAGTCTTTTCTATTCTTTCTAATATAGTTTCTTAATAGCTATTCCCTTACTTCTTTCTCTATATTAGCGGACCTATCTGCTATTATTAATTTATTAATAATATAAATAAACTAGTATTCTATACTAGTTCTAATAGTAAAAGAGCCCAGGAACTTATAATCTTGCCAGGTTCTATCTAAACTATCTTTAACCTTTCCTGCTATAGTATATATCTAGGCCCTAAGAATATCTGAATAATTTTCCTTGTTTTATACTAGGATAAGACTCTATATAAAGATATCCGTTTTGAAATTATTTATAAAAAGCTAGAAAATACTTAGAAAAAGACTTTATATAAAGATCTCTATCTTAAAATTACTTATAAAGAGCTAGAAAATACTTAGAAGATATAATAACTTAAGGAAATTAAATAATAAACTAAGAAGGCCCAGAGAGCCTAGGAGAATATTACCTGCTAGTATAGATATAAGACTTTGAAAGTAAGAAGGAATCTAATAAACTAGTAGGTAAATAAAGATATATATATAATTCTTTTCTTTAATTCTGGCTTTTATTCTTTATTTCTTCTATAGACTCTTTTTTATTTTTAGGTTTAATTA